ATACTGAGCATCTTTCTCTTTGACACCATGTCTGATATCCCACGTGATCTGTCAAATACTAATGCATGAAAATCCTAACCTCAAAAAAATCACCCGATATATGCCACATACTAGTTAGTGGTATTGGGAAAAAAGATGAAATCGGGTCGATACTACCAAAACTCCCATATAATATAACATAAAGTTATCTTCGTTTTTCTAACAAACCTTATGTGTCTGTCAGTGTATTGCTAATACATATATAATATATGTATTTGGAAAATTTATTAGATTTCGATTCTCTAGCTGACGTTTTACACCTTAAAAATTCTTGCAAGTTGCAAAGGTATAAAATGTTCGGTTGCACGCGAACTTAGCCTTCCTTACTTGTTTTTAGTAATATTTATTATCTGATTTTACTCATTTTCGTCATATGAAGAAATGTGAGGAGAAATCTTGTCAGTAAATTATCTACAAAACTATAAATTTTGCAATTAAAAAAAATTTTTTTTTGTTTTCATTTAGTTATAAAATTTAAGACATAAAAATTTGCTTTAAAATATTAATTTTCTAAACGGTTAGGAAAAAACCATAAGAGATATTTTAGTATAATATTCAATTTTCTACAAAATCTATGAAACAAGTAGTTGAAATCGATTTTTTGTACATCTGATAAAAGGCAAAAAAAGAAAACTGAGGACCTTCCCCTTGCAATTAAGAACCGATACATGAAGAGATTTTCGAAGTACTTAAAAACCTATTTTTGAGAGTACCAAGCGAAAAAATATTAATTTTTTAGACCCACCCTACTCACCATAAGTGGACAATGGCGAATCGCACGAATAACTAGTATAAATGTCATAGATTGGCATAATAAAATAGAGACAGAAAACACAGCGCCTATACCAATTACACTCTCGCATGTTTTGAATTATCCGAACAACTATATTGTTGTTTTCATTTGTTTGTTTGTTTGTTCACAAGAGAACAGTGCTCAAACAAAAAAGAATAGTGAATGAAAAACGATCTTCGGCTAATTGATTAAGGTACACAATTTTTTATATACATATATATCTGCGAAGATTTTACATTCAATAATATCAAATCCTC